GATACCAGAACAGGTACCAGGATCTGGCCATGACTCTTTCCAGAAGAGCTCTGTGCGCATCTGAGTGGATCAGCCCAGATTTAAGCAGTGCTATTTGTCTGCCCAGAGACAACCTGAACCCCTCAGACCCTCCTCACCTCCCACACCATAGAAACTCTCTTGAAACTACTTGGGAAAGGAAATCCAGAATCCAGAGGGTTTACACTGGCTATCTATGATCCATCCAGCTCTATTTTCTCTGGAGGTATTTCACAGGTTGCAGCCCTGCCTGGAGAACCCCGTGCATGTCAGGGGCAGCTGGGCTGGGCAAGGCTCAGACAGAGGCAGAAAGGCAGCATTTCTGTGCTGCAAAAAGGCAGCAGGCTGAGCCACAGCTGAGCCCTGCCACTATACTTGTTTTGGAAATGGTACATACCACCCATAAATGGGGAACACACAGCACCAGCCAGTAGGTCTTTCCAGCAGAGACTCCAGAAGAGTCCCTGGGAAACACAGACGTTGGTGGTGTCTTAATCTCTACACCACAGCACTGAAACTGTCACTATTCTGAGAGATTTTACTGCCTTGATTAGCTTGTTAATTGACATAGTTCTTTATTCTGTTGGGGTTTATTAGCTTCACTAAAACCATCACAACTAGGCTGATGCTACCAAGTTTTATGTTTTACGTTTTACATTTTGGTTGCAGAGCCACCATCCCAGTCTCAGCAGTATCCTTTTGTTTTGCACTACAACAACCAACAGCCCTCTGCTAAATAAGCATAATCCTCTGCCACCTCTGAGAGATGAGATGGTGATGGAGCCATCAACCTCATCAGCTGCGACATGTCCCCTGCAGATGAGCAGGATAGGGAGAGAGGAGGATGGAGCACATAGAACAGCTTGGGAGTTCAATCACAGAGAGTTTCTGACTGCCAGCCCAAAAACTGGTATCTGTAAGAGCAGGTAAAGGAAACAAGTTGTCCCAAAAACCCCATGTTCCCCTAAACTCCTCAGTATCTGCAACTTTTCATACTAAAAAGAATATTTGCTGAGGAAGGCACCCCTGCACCAGCAAAGCTGGCATCAGCCCCTGCAGACACGGCAGAAACTGCCCATATCTCTCGTCCTCCTGGCCACAAGGAAAACTTAAAGCAAGTTAAATTATCCCTTCAAAGTGATGACAGCTTCTGGAGCAGCACACACTGCAAACACCTGCTGAACAGGCACAGGCTGGTGCTGGTGGTTTGGTACTGGGAAATTAAACTTCGTGGAGAGCCCAATACCTCTTTAGCTACAGCAGCTCTCCCCTTACCCACTGTGCCCTGCTCACAGCTTAGCACGCACGTTCACTGCGCAGCGAGGTGTAAATCAATACGCATCACTGTGTGCTCCCTGACAGCCAGGTTACACAATTATCTCTCAGACCATATTCATTTAGCACTTAAATATTGCACAAAGTGGTTCCACAGATTGATGTGAACCCAGCTGGTCAGTGCACAACCCTTGCTACCTTCTGGGGCTTGGGATGGGAAATGGGCAGAAAAGATGATCTCTAATCTCCCTCCTTTTCTGAAATACCTTTTTTTCTTCTCATCTCTTTTTTGCTTTTAATTATGTACCCCAAAGGAGCAGAGCTAAATTCATACAACCCCAGGGACTTCGTGTTCACAGCATACCAACCAAATACACTTACAGCTCACAGAGGAGCAGCGAAGATGCCCAAGGCAGGAAAACCCTGCAGCCTTTTGATAGTGATGTGGAGGCGTGGGGGGTGATCCCTCCTTGTCCCTGCACCGCAGGGGTAGGAAGCATCATTCCTGCACCACAGTCACCTGAAATTGCATCAAAGCTAGACAGCAGTGTCTTATACTCCTCTGCATCAGTGTGACCGCAGGCAGAGCCAGGCTTCTGCCCCCCAGGAGCCACAAAATACGTAATGCAAAATGTGAGGAAGGTTTGGAGGCAACATACTTTTCTGCAAACAAGCATCCTCAGCAACTTCGTCCCTCATGCCTAAATTTGCTTCTTCCTCACGCAGAAAGTTTCAGAAGAAAGTTAAAGAATACATAAATAAATACAGATTGTTCATCCCCTCTAGGAGGGCTGGAAAGTTTCTTCCAGCAGCCAGCCTAAATCTCTGCTGCAAGCAAAGATGGTTCATTCTCAGGTGATTTCACACCTTATTTCTGGGGCTGTCACCAGGGGAGCTGCAAAGAAAAGTGACAGTTGGCATGGGAGAGAGGGAGAATGGACAGAAGGACAGACACAGATGGCAGAAAAGCAGATCAGCTTCTCAGGGCAAGCCCATTGCCAGCAGCCACATGCTGTGCTGGACACAGTGGCAGGGCACCCGTGTGGGTCAGAAGTAACAGGAAAAGGGACACTGAAGAAAAAGGGGGTGACCCCAGCCATAGGGACTTTTTCAGGGCTCAGTCCCACCTCTGGTGCCCTTGTGGTGTTGCTGGAATTATTACCACTTCACAGATGGGAAGCCTGGAATACAGAGACCTGCAGGAGGACAGAGATTGTAACCAAACTCTCACCTGCCCAAGGCTGGCAGCAGACAGTGCCCTTTAATTTGACTGGCACCCATGTGAAGTAGTTGCCAGGAGGGATTTCATGCAGGGCTTTGACAATATTTTAACTTTACTACCACCAGGTTTCTTGCTTCCTACTTCATCTATTTTTTTTTCCTGTGTTCCTTTCCCTGGGTTCAGACTGTATTTTAAACACAGGCAAAAGCCATCTGTCCTCATCTCTCTGCCCAACAGGGAGGGCGGCAGATGCAGACTGAGGCACAGGCTGGCCAGGAAGGCAGTGAGGCTCTGAGGGCAGCCCTGCTCCCTTGCCTCACGCTTTGTGAGAGACTCAAAAGCCCCATTTCTACACCCACTGCCTCACCATCTGCTCGCTAAGCCCTGCCTGAGAAAGGGCTTTTGCCTCCCAGTCTCAGACTGTCTCAAAGGGAGATGTAATCTTCATTTCCACATAGCGTTGGGGTGATGGGTTCACAAGAAATGCTCCCCCAGCTTCAAGCAAGTGTTTTCAAAGGTGGAAAATGTCTCTGAGGGGCAGGAGCAGTGGTGAGACAAACAGGGATTTCTCAAGCACCTGGAACTCAACCTGAGAGTGATTCAGGAGATTTCCCCAGCCTGCCCCCATAACACCAAACAATTCCTTTGACTGACAGGCATAGAGCTGGAGCTAACAGCAAGTGAATCGCAGCCGTCAGGACCCAGCGTAATTCATGATGCCGTTTGCTGGGGAGAGAGCTACTGCTGGGCTATTTATCACTCCTTCATGATGCATCCCCCGTTCCTTCTGGATGGGGTTGACATAATTCACGAGCACCTGTAGCTGCTGAGCGCTAGCTGCACGGAGCAAAGCCTCCACCACTGAGCCAGGCAGCCAGACACTGGTAGCCTGACAAATGGATTTTCCAGCATGTGGACAGATAGTTGAGCTTTTCAAACTCTTAACAAAGGAAATGCATTCCTCCGCTGACTCTCAGGAGTCATCAAGGTCACAGGAAAAGATGCCAGATCGAAAGCTGAGATGAAATTAAATATTTTTTTCCGTCCACCGAGGAATTTGTGCAGCTCTCATCAAATAATTGGTGAGCACTTTGCTGGCAAGTTGCAGAGTTTATTTTCACAAGATTGGTAGCAGGTAAGACAGCATTATTCTCTCCCAGTTTGGAGGGCAAACCGATAGTTGGAGTAGCACAAAGAAGTGGCTGTGCTGGGAACAGACCCAAATCTCCTTCATTTTGAGGCAATATCCTAGTCACCAAGATGCTCTCACACAAACACTGCTAGTTAAGAGCTTTCTCATCCACTGCAGGGTACGTTCCAGCTGATATCCTCAACTGTACATTTTGTCTAGTGTGGATACATCCTACAAAGGAACGCCTTGGGTTTGTGAAGAAAACTAAAATGTTATAAATGTAGATTTGTCACATTTCCTGAAATTGTACAGCCCCATGCAACTAAACTTAACCCCAAGTACCAAAACATGATAATTAAAAGATGAAATTTGACAGTCCAGCCCAGGTAGGTGATCAATCCTAAAACCTACTTAAAACCTGTGTAGGACTAATTTGACATATTGTCTGCAGGTGGTATAATACGTCAAATTATGACAATATGTCATACCTGCAGATGCCCAGCACTTTCCAAACTTATTGAGAATTAGTCACCCTTAGAGCTATGTGTCCTTTTCAGTGAGCCAGTTTACTCAGTGACACTTGAAATGAGCCCAGCTTGTTCTGGGAAAAATATGGTTTGTCCTGTACTGAAACCAAATTCAGCACAATTTGCAAAGCATGAAACTAATCACTGTTCCTGATAACTACGCTGTAGATGTAGCACGCAAAAAAAAATGTGACTTTATACATGACTAATCTGACAGTCTCTAGGAGACATAGAAAGAGAGGGTATTTATAGAGACCTAATAGCATCTGTCCCCACACCTGGATGTGGGTCAGCACCTAAGGTGAGATGAGGGCATGTCTGGAGACAAGCAGAAGGCAAGCCAGACTCTGAAGGCCATCTACAAGAGCCACCAATTTCCCACCTGGGCAGCATTTTGGTGGGTCGAGAGTGTTGCCAGTATCCTGGTATGCCCCAAAACCTTTCTCAAGTTCCTCTGTGAAGTTTCCACCACTCACCTTCCTAGTCAGTCCACGCAGCTACAACGTGTTTACACTTTCCCACCCGCAACTCCCATCCCAAACCTTCACCCACTGAAGCAGTTGACTGTAGCACGATGAGCTGGGCAATATTAAAAAGGGAAAGGAATATGGGGAGTGGTGGGGTGCTGCTGGTGTTACATTTCGCAGCTGAATCAGCTCTGGGTGATGCCGGGATGCTCAGCAGTCGCGGTGCGGCAGAGGGTGCACGGGGTCCCACGCCACGAGAGACCCGCACGGTGTGGGACCCCACGCACTCTCCGCCGCACCGCGACAGCTACCGGGATGAAATCCCGTCCCTATCCCCATCCCCATCGCGGGGCACTCACCCGGGCTGTCGGCTTGTCCCGCGGCGGGAGGCGAGCAAGGGCGGCCGAGACGGTTTCGGGACGGAGGAGGAGGAGGAGGAGGAGGAAGACGCCGTGGGGAAGCGAGGGGCAGCGACCCGGCTGGTGGGACCGGGACCAGCCCCAAGCCCAGCAGCAGCAGCAGGGTGCAGGCTGCCGGCATGGCGCTGGGGGTGGATGGAAGGGGAGGCGGGGGGGGCAGGGGGGTGGTTGTTCACATACCCGGAGCGGGGCAATGAATAACCACGTAAATAGCGATTTTTAATGAATTCCCGCTGCCCCCCCCCGGGGCGGCGCCTTAGAAGTGCGGGGTGCCCATGGCGGAGGGGGCGAGGGGGGGGCCCGGCCGGCAGCGGCAGCAGCCTGCGGCCAAGTGCCGGCGCCCGAAAGTAAAAGGGCAGGCGGCGGAGGCTCCTCCTCGAGCCTGACATCACCCAGCCGCGGCTCGGCTCGGCTCGGCATGGCCCGGCTCCCCACGGCCCCCCCACCCCGGCCCGGCCCGGCCCCCAGCGGCCGCCCCCTCCCGCCCCGCGCAGCCGTCGGGCCGCCCGTTCCCTCGCCCGTCTGCCTGCAGCATCAGTAACGAAAATAATAATAATAACAACAATAAAAATGTTTAAAATTATGCTTCTTTTTACTTTTACTTTGTTTCTCCTGCTGCATCCCCCAGCCGCGCCGGGAGAGCAGGACCCCCCTGCCCACCGCCCCCAGCCCCCGAGGAGGTGCCGCAGGGACACCGGTACCGCGCGTAGGTGCGGGCAGCGCGCAGGTCCCGCACCCGCGCAGCGGCACCGGCGGGACACGGCCGGTCACCCCCCGGCTCCGGCACGGCCACCCCCCCGCTCCCGCGCTCGATAGCCCCAAACTTAATTCCCATCGAAATCAAGTCCTTGCCAAATAACTTCAACCCCTTTCTTGTTTATGAAGCTGACCCGCTCCCTTTGAAATGTCTCGGTAGCATTTGAGACTGCAAGAAGTTGGTGAATTTCCCAGGCCAGGCTGTACGGCAGGCAAAGGATTTCCCTTCATTGTTCTGAAATTCCCCTTCATAATTTCATGCTCCTGGTTCTGCGAGAGAGCACGCCACGGAGCAGTGGGTTGGGCTTTGCCTAAGCTGCCGGCATCCCGATGCGTCAGGTTTAGGGTACTCGCTGAGCTCTCGCTCCCCTGGGAACACAAACTCACCTTGGGCAGCCTCTCCTCTCGAGTCGTTCCTGGGCCCTGTGCTTTTCCATCGAGCTAGTTCAGAATCGGGCTTGATTTCCACAAGCCAAGCAGAATCTGACCTTTCAAAGGGGAGCTACAAGTAACAACACCCGGCATCCAGACAGCTGCAGCCTCGGACAAAAGTGGGGGCTGGTCCACAGCTCCCCACTTTGCCATTCACGAAAAGCAGAAGCCGATGATGAACACGAACTCTCCTGAAAGCCTCTTTCCACCCGAGAGGTGGCACTGATGAGCCCACACCAGCATGTCAATGGCCTTGGCTTTACCCCGACACAGGACTTGCTCTCTGGTGCTCAGTTTTTTCCACACCTTTCCACACCACAACGAAGCACACTCAGAAATCCTCACTCTGGTGCTTGAATAATAATGGATGAAAGCCCCGGGAAAGGCCACCTTTGAAGCATCCCTCTATCAACCCATTCTCTAGTCTGCTACAGCTTTTGGCATCTCCTTGCTTCAAATTTGCTTAAACTCAAGGAACAAGTGAAGCCAATGTCGGTTTGGGACACAAAGCACAAATCAGTCATGATTATGCTTTAAGCATACAAGTAACCATCCCAATCCTGGCATATGGGGTGATCTGAGTGACCTAGAATCCAAAGGCAATCACCACCAAGGAGCATGATCCACAGAAGATATCTTTAGGCTCCTTCAGCCTGTGCCAATGTATTGACACACTCTATATGTGCAAAACAAGGCTTCCTTCTTGATAAGACAGAGGGACCAATATGTGATTAAGTAACATGCCATCATGGGAGTGAGTTAAAGCTCATGGGAAGAGCTGTGAAATATTTTTATACTTTGGGAGATGGTGCAGGGAGCACAGAGCAGCAGCTCAAACACTTGGAGATATCTTTACACGTGAAATGCAGGACTCCCCTCTACCAGTTCCTCAGGTAGTAAGTAATATCCATAAGAAATATGATTCTTCAGAAAGTTTTGTTAGTCCCTGGAATGAAAGCCTTGCCAACCAGCACTTCTGATGCTTTCCTACACCTTTTAACTATGCAATACAGGTGAGGCAGTAGAGGCACAGAAACCTCTCTAAGGCCAACAATACACCCTCAGGGCTGCAGGGGGCAAATCAAAGCCAAACCTGGCCCTGACATGAAATGGATGCTCTTGTGTCCACTCACTCTCAAGGCCTACAGCCGTAACACTAAGCCTAGAGCTCACATCCCTTTTCCCTCACCTTCCCAAGAGACTTCCCCAGCATCTAAGCCACTTAGCAGCTCCCTGCTCTTGCTGCATTTCTGAACCAAACAGGGCACTTGTAACCATGACAGGGGTGACCAGTAGGACCCTATGTCCGTATGCACAGCCAGCACTAGGAAACACCAGCAAAAGGGCCCTGTGCTGCCCTTGAACCAGCCACATCCTGTCGGAGCTTAATATAAGTGGGAAAACAGCACTGAGCCAAGGAATGCCCATTGCAGCCTCTGAAGCACATGGCAGTGGTGAGGCTGCTGCCAGCCCCAGCAAAAGCCTCACAGTGTGAACCCATGTGCCTAAACCAGTACTTACCATCACGAGATAATCTCTCTCCTCTCTCCATCATGGTTCCAGTCACGAGCAGCACATTATTCACAAGCACCTGGAAAGGAAACGCCAATATTCAGGCAGTTTCAGACTTCACAAATACAGTCCCTTCCCCCACAGCTGCCTGATTTGCCAAGATGTAGTGCCTGTAAATTTAAAGCTACTGTGTTTTCCTGCCACCTTACTTTTATTCCTACCTTCATGGTTTCATAAGTAATATCCCTGAACTGAAGGTGTCAATTTATGACTGATATTTTTGAGCTCCAGCTCCAACAGCCACATGAAAATATCAGGAAAAAAAAAAATCTCACTTCTTTTTTTTGTTTTTCCAAAGTGGGTATTGTTTTATCCATTGGAGCTGCAGAGAGTCGTGTGGACGGGATACCAATCCTGCCACCCATGTGCCATGTTAGACACCCTCCCGGGAGGACCAGGAAGGAGCATCAGTGGTGCTGTGCTGCAGCAGGATGAAGGTGTATGTGTGGAGCATGAACACTCAGTGAAGGCCACCACCACTTGCCTTTTCCCTGTATGGTGCTGGAGTTGTTTATCCCTGTGGCACAGCTGCACGCTCCACTGCCACATCCCACTAATACTGGTTATGGGACAGCTCCAGGTCAACACTGCTCCCCTCTCTCCTTTGAAAGCACAAACTAATGGGAGATTTAAATGCATTAAATCATATCTGAGGAGCCAGATGGGCCAGGCAGAGCCTGATGTAAGATAATGCCATAGCATCCTCCTGAAAGAGGCTGTGACCTCAAACATCTCTCCGAATTATATATAAAATTCATTTAACACTTCCACCTGAAAGCAACCAGTACATTCCACACACAGCAAAGGAGTTAAAAACAATCTCATCAACATAGGAAGCCTCTAACAAAACTATATATAAAATATGATTGATATTGATTTATTGAAACCCACCCATCACCTTGTTTTGGGGGAGGAAAAACACAGCGCGTTTTTGTTTCACCTTGATTTCTACTCTCCAGATTGATGGGTTAGAGACACATGACAGGATTTGATGGGTTCTACATTGTTTTGGTCTGAAATCACTAAAAACCACAGGAGTCTGTACAGAAGAGGCAGCTCTGTAGCACTTGGTCAGGATTGCAGTGACCAGTCCCTTCTCTCTGGTTCCGTAGGAGCCTTTTGCAGCCCCAGCCAATGTCATGAACTCCTGCAGCTCCCTTGAAACTCATCCCAGATCTGTCCAAAACTTGGATCAGGCTCATAAACCTCAGACAAGTTTTAAGCTGATGATGAATTAAGGTACAAAGTGAATATTTTCTCCTCCTGGAATTTGTTATTAAAAGCCCTGAGTTTCCAAAGTGGACAAATAGTTCCTAACTGAGTAATTAATTACCTTCCCATCTCCTCTCAATGCCGCAAGCCATCCATTAATGGATACCAATCATCCAAAAGACACTTAATACCTGACCATTTTTCTTGAGATTTTGGGGGTGGTGGTATTTTATTGATTTATTTTAACAAGAACTGCTTGCCTTGTACCTCTGTTGGAAGCAGCTTGTTCTAGATACTTGACATTTGGAGGTCAGGATGGATATGGGTCTTGTGATCTCTCTCCATCCCTCACAGAAAAATACACAACTTGAAATGATGTTGCATTTTGAATTCTGTCATTGGAAATAAATACCTTGCTTTCTGGAGGGAAAATAAATAAATCAGCCATTCAAATCCATCTGGAAAGAAGCAATTCTAAATTTCTGATTTATTTCTTCAAGAACCCTTTTCAGCCAGCCCTGGTTTGAAGCACATCAAGGAAAACCCAGACATTTTAGAGCTGAACAAAACACTTCAGAGTGTTAAATCCAGAAAGAAGCTCCCAGTGAAGTTTGACACTTGGATCCAACAAAGTTACAGGTGCTCTCCTTGACCATTCAGTTTCTGGGAGCACCTGTTCTTCTCCTCACTCTTGCACAAGAGGGACAAATCCCAGCTGTGAGCATAAAAAGCATGAGGGTACAAGCATAAAAATTATGTGGTAAAAAAAAGCCAGGAGGAGCAGAAAGCAGAAAAGGAAGGAGCCTCTCTTGTGCCGTACGGGTTTTAAGTGATTTATTTTTAGCCTGCAGTTTGCTGCTAGAGCCTCTCATCCGTAGCTTTTAAGGTTGTTACTGCTGAGGTCTCACCTTGTCTTAGGTTTAAGTGATGCTACGGCAAATCTGGGTCGCAGCAACACAGCACTGCGGAATATAACAAGTCCATTATATACCATTTTTGTATGGAGTTAGCAAATTTATAGGTAGTCTACAAAATCTTCTCTCTTTTATCCCTGTAATTGCCTTTTCTAAAATTCACCAGGCAAGGGCAATCGTTCAAATAATCTCTGTTTCCCGCTAACCTAAATGTTAATCCTAGGCTGGCTCCTGTGCTTCAGCAAAACTCTTCTGACCTTGCAGGTGTAAGTATGATGCTGTTTAAGAAACTCTGTCTGTCTGAATCAGAGGCACATGGGCAAGAGAATACCAGCTCATGGGGCACAGAGAGCCACCCCCTGCCTAAATTCATCCATGCACAGGAGCATCATTTCATATTTTGTCACCCTTCTTTGCTACTTCAACAGTATGGTCACAACTGTCTGCTGTGAATAAATGACCATGGCAGGTGTGTGATATTTTGGCCACCATACATAACACAGACCATCCAAGGAAACTCAAAACTGATCAAGAGAAGCCATGAGGAGAATAAAAAAAAAGACAAGTTTGAGCTAAGATATGGATTTAAGGAGTGTGATTCATTCTCCCTGTGCAGACTCTTAATGGGACACAGATCCAGGTGGATGACAATTTATACCAACTGAGGAGCTGTCTCCTAATGCCAATATCACAATAAAACTTCACTTTTCTTCTGCCCATTCTTAGTCCTGACTATTTGTGGTGCAAGTCTTTTGAGGCAGAAAATTCTGATTTCCAGACCTGCTTAGTGCTGACGGGTCACAAATGCAGCATGAGCTTCTGGGCAATACTGCAAGGCAAGTAATAAAATATTTATCCTCAACTGCCTTCTACCCTTGTATGCTCTGCAAAGGAAACCATCAAAAGCAGAGCCACCAATTTACAGTTAGAATCTTCAAAAGGAACAAAACAGAGCTGCCATATCCACATCTCCTTCGAAAACGTTTTCACCCCTTGACCCATTGCAGAACATTTTAATTTCTTACATAATAATAACAAAAAGATCAAATTTCAAACCCAAAGGAAAACAATTATAGATAAAAAAAAGGTTATGTGGCTTAGAAAACAGGAAAGCCTTTCCACAATGACATTAACAAAGCTGCAACCTTGACATATAACAGGACATATGATGCTCAGAGCCGGGTCCCAAACTCACCTTTAGGGAACCTGAAGCTTCACGAAAGCCTCAGCATGTGCAGACACAACTTGGCTCTCAAGGGGGATCAAAGTGGCACATTACCACTCATAGAAGCAATCCTCACCTACATTTCTTCCCTTCAGCCACTAAACATGAAGCTAATAAACTCCTACCCCCCTAACTTCACCCTTTTTTTCTTTTTTAGAGTGCTACTGAAGCTACAGCCATTTTTGACATGACACCACGATCTTTAGCTGTACAACTGCTTTCTTTCTTGCTTGCTGGAAAAGTTTCCTTGATGTGCAAAGCCCTGCGTACCCATAGGGCCTGAACTTGTAGAGTCTCCAACGATATGCAGAATGTGGTGTGGGACTATTGGTGCTAAAACAAGGCTTCCTGCCATTCTTACCATTAGCTATGCCAGAGTTAATGCTCCAGGAAAGATTAGCATGTCCCTTTCCAAGCATTAAACAGGAAAGTTGTCATAATGTGTAATGGCAGCGAGGAAATCAGCCCTGTGTGATGCATTTCTCCCTTGTGGATGCGAGGGGAGGGAAGGACCAGTGCCTGTACTTACCAGGTGGTGGAGGGAGCTGGTTCCTGCTGTGGTGGTAGTGCCAGTGGAGAGGTGGCAGAGTTTCTCCTGCAGCAGCACGTGGAGCCCAATGACCAGAAACCCCTGGAACAATGTGCTCTGCAGAGCATCTCCTCTGCTGCCATGTCCCAAGAGCAGCAATTGCCATCCGGTGCCAATGCCAGCCCTGCCACCGTCTTTTTCCAGAAATACCAAGGCACAACCCATACCTGCACCCCAGACATTCCCTCACTGGGCCCCTCCACAGCAGAGCACAGTGCCTTTTCCAGCTGCCAGCAGAAGCTTCATCAGCCCACAAACACAACTGAAATTGTTCCAGAGGATGCTCAGATGCAAAGAGCTGCTGGATGGTGCTGGCAGAAGGGGACAGCTGCTGCACACTTAGTCAGCTGAAGGCAAAGCTGCAGGGCCTCTTCCCAATACTGCTAGACCAAGGGAGACACTGTTTGTATTTCTGGCCCGTCACACCCCAGTTTTGGGGATGTGCAGGGACTGCAGTGTTGGAGAGGCAAACACTCTCCACTAGGTCATCTGGTTTCATCCTGTGCATCTCCTCAGTGAGTGAGGTACACAGCCCAGGGACCTTTCCCCACTCTCCCTCTCTATCTCCTGACTGATGTCTTATTTTAAGAAGGGAATTAAATTGTTTAGTAGCTAAAAAAGAAGTTACCTAGAAATTTCTGCCCATTAATCCCTTCATGTCATGCTCTGGGGTTTTCTTTTGGTCAAGCTACAGAGAAATGCAGGGCTGGGCATTCCTCAACCTGAAAGGAAAGGCACTATGCATGTGACTGGACTTTATGAAATGCTAGATTTTACAGTAGCAGCATTATGGTTGGGTATGAAACTGTAACAGGGATTGTGTTCAGCACCATGCAGTTTGACCGAGGAGTGTTCAGTCTGCACAACAGCAGTATCTGCCAAGGTCAAGGATGATAGAAGCACAGGGAAGGCTCCCTGGAACCACTGGTCCCAGGAAACCCAGGGGAAGCTTCAACACCGAGCCACATCCACACAACGGATACAGTCTCTTTGGAAACCAACAGCAAAAGGCAATGGAAGGAAGGAGCCCTGGAAAGAGTGTTTCCAACACTGAATGACTGACGTGAGGTGACTCAGAGCTGGTCACACAAACACAACTTCCTTCTTGCCTCTATTGAGATAATTAAGGTTAAAAACACTTAGTAAAAGACCTGTGACCTTGAAAAATGAGTATGCTTTCTGCAGTGTGCCAGGGTGGCTCTTTTCCTCATGTCAGCAGAAAGCCTCCTGTTCATCCCTCTGTGAGAAAAGTGGAAGAGCCAAAGCTGCAGCTGGGTCAGATCATGAGATGGGATAGAGCATCCCCCCCCCACCTGGTAACACCAGGGCACTGAGCACAGGCAAGCATAACGGTGCTCAAAGGCATTGAGTGTGCCCAAAGAAAGAACAGAGAGGAGTTCTGGCATCTCAAGGTTTTATTGCACAGAAGGAGAAATAAATAATCTAAAGGCTGAAATGATCAGAGATGAAACAAAGCGAAAGGCAGTGATTTCCCTCTCCTTGTAAATGCCAAGTTACAACAATATTACACAAGTGATGGGTGTTGCTGGAGCTTGCCTCAGCCCAGAACCCTCGCTCATGCCTGTGTGGGTCCCTGCCAGGATGGCTGCCTGTAGGCAGGACAGTGCTCAGTGGAGGGTTTTTTCCCTGAGGAGAAGAAGCAACAGTGATGAGAGGTCCAGATAAAATCTCACTCCCCCCACAGACACTGCCCATCAACCCTGTGTTTTGTAAATCCTGCAGCACCTTCAGCTGAACTTCCCACATCCCAAATCATGGCAGCAGGAGAAACGGCTCATTGTGGGAGCATACTGTGGGATGGACTTTAAGCAAAATAAGCAAAGATGAGGCTAAACTTATTTTGTTAAAGCACTTCTGAATCATCTACCCCTTCAGCCAGGAGATGCTCTATATGGGCGCAGTTATGTTGTCCGGTCTTAGGTTTCATATCAGCAAGCATGTGGCAAATACTATGAGCAGCTTCTAAGACATCATCTCACAGTTACAGGGAAGAGGTCATTATTCTGCATTACGGGATTTAAATGTGCAATTTCAGTTGTGAATACACTTCATAATCTTCTTGCACTTGCCACTGATTCTGGCCTATTGTCTAATGCCTTAAAGTACTTTCTAAGACCTTGGTAATTGAAATGCTGAGGTAGAAAATTACTGTATTACAAGCAGGGAAGTTCATGCCAAGGGGAGAAGTGAATTGACCTGGAAGGTCGCATCTATCTGTGGCACAGCTGGGAGTGGGGTGCTGGCTCCTGCTGCCGAGGTCACCACTCCCAGGCACAAAGTGTCCCTAGTCACCCAGAGGACATCCGAAATGGGGTGTTATAAGCTTTTATAGTGGCAATGGTCTTTAGACCTCAATAGGGCTTATAATTGAATTCTTTTAAACAGTTATATTGTCCTCAGAAACTCATCACTCCCTTGGACTAGCCCTTTCATTTCCAATTTTTCCCTCAGTTTGGGTAAGATTTGAAGCCCAGCAATGTTGTAGTTTGCATAAACAAACAAGCTTCAAATACATAAATAACTATTCACATTCTTTATGCATAAATTCAAGTATTTCACAAGGCACCGCGGCACCCATTAGCACTTCTAAATGCTTTTTGAAGTAATGGATTGATTTTTTTTGTGTGTGTCCTTCACTGGAATTGGTTTCCAAATTCCTCTCTGCTGATGAGCGAGGACTGGTGATAGCGGTCCCGCGAGGCGAAGTCAGCGTTCTCCTCGGTGAGCTGCCTGGTCTCCATGCCAACTGTTGCAAAGGACGGTGTCACTACAATCTGCTCCTTGGGAGATGGCCTTCTCCTGCAAACAGAGAAGTAGAGGTGCCTGCATCACCCCTTGTTTGTCATCCATTCCCAGCCACGCTCTCGGCTGCGCAAACAAGGCAGGGTTCTTCGAGAAGAGGTTAAATCCTTCCAGGTGCCCTTTGGAGGCAGAGAGCTAACCTGAAAGAATTTTTATTAAAAGACACACAAAAATTGTACTCCCTTCCCCCAGTAAACATAGGAAAATATACATTTTCTTAACAAATAAGTTTCATCTTTGGATGTTGACTACGGCAAACACCTTCTACACTGTGCAGGAGAAGAAGGAGCATGAATCATTTCTAATGAAAAACACCCTTCTTATAGTTTCCGAAGCAATAAGAAAAATTACAGTAATTTTTGTAACTCTTTTTAAATAAAAGGGGAGATTTTCCTGCAATCTCTTTATCCCAGAGGCTGATTTTAAGAAAACCTGATTGCACATCTTTAAATCCAAACTGCAAGAGCATACAGCACTGACTAAGACCTTGTCAAGCACTTAAGAGCCTTAGAGGTGTCAAGAACCCTTGTGACTCAACAGGAAGGTCTCCCTTATTCCTTTTCATCCTTATGGCCCCAGCCTCCATGTAGATAATTTTTGGTTGATTTTAATTTCACATTGACTGATTTTAGGGCTTAGTTTGATTTTTCTCTGTGTGCTTTAACCATCTAGTAAGTAGTAGAGTGAACCTCGCCAATGAACTCTGAAACGCTTTCATTTTAATATTAAACCTCTGCCAGAGATTATTTGAACAACCTAAAGGATTCACTTGCCACAACACAGTGCACACCCTCTGCACCCCCTCACCCCTCTTCTGGGTAGTCTGTCTGATCTGGGCTCTCATCCTCTAAGGCTTAGGCAAGCTGCAGCTTTACACTGCTGTGAGAGGCAGCAGTACCTGTGTGAACAAAGCTATTCAGGGCAAGAGGTGTGGAGGACAGGTGGGTCTTCAGGGACCCAGTCCCATACTCAGAGGCATCCAATGGTCTGGTAGAGAGAGGGATGGACATGATGTTGGACAACTGTCTTGTCCGTTCTCAGCCTGCCATGGAGACCTCTCAGGGAGGTCCCATCTCCCCTGGTTTCTTTCCCTAACCACCTCTGTTACCAAAAGCATGTGGCCATGTTATAGGGACTGTGGGCAGAGGCAGGAGCTGGCAAGACAGACATGGGTATGTGCCAGTGTGCTTAAACTGTGCTGGACTTTCATTTACTTTAAAGGAGCCACCAAATTTGCACATATAATGCATGGCAGCTCATGTTGTGCAGTCCTTCCTACAGTGTTCACTCACCCCAACCAAAAAGCAACCAAATCAACTGAGAAACTCAAAGCCATTTCAGGTGGTCACAACCTGCTATGGGAAACTCAACATGATGGAATTAATAATTAATAGCATCAAAAAAGATTAACAAAACTAGTTAATAACCAACCAAACAAAACCCTCAAGGTCTTCTGGGAATCAAACGCCAAGACAATGGACTGCAGTCCCATGCAAACTCAATACTGAATGGTTCCTTCACCAAAGACACTGTTTACTGTATTTATAACTATTGCAGCTTCCCCCCCAAATTTCCTCTCTGAAACTTGAGCAGCTTCCATGTGTGCCAGTTCCACCACTACCATAGAAATTTGCTTTCAGTGAATGGTGGGTGGAAGAGATGGAGCGTCCAATTTCTCATTTCCTGCCAGATTTTCCCATTCAACATGAGCCATAAAGGTTGAGCACAGACCTTTGGGGTAAGATAAAGCTTCAGGCACCAAGATATGATTATCAGCTGACATGCCTACACACAGAGCAGCAGAGACTCCACTTCCCCACATCCACAGCATGTGCCAGGCTAATGAGACCAAGCAGCTATTTTTACCATTAAGTAAGAATAACTTTGAGTATGCAAGAAAGAGCAGACAGCCTGCTTAATAAGTAAGTCAATTCTTCCACCCCTCTCTGTGCACATCAGTGGGTCATGGGAACAATGAGGAACATATTGGTCACTGCCAAGTGACTGGTACCAACCTGCACAAAGCGATCAAAACCGACTTAATCCAGCCAAAGAAACTGAAATTTGCTGCTGCTCCTATGGAGAAAAGGCACGAGAAGTCAGTATGCTGCTAATTCTTTCATAAGAGCATTACACCACTCAATTTTTGCACAGAATCTCAAACCAACATGCTTGTTATTAACTTGCAAAGATTTTGTGGTGGTGAGAACATTCTTTCAGTTTTCCTACATGCTGTGGCTTTTAAACACTTGTCATGAAATGAACCCAAGCTATCTCTTCCAAGCCTGAGAGCTTGTCGAACCCCAGCAAAGCCAGAGCAAAGCATGGACACCCACTGCAGTACCTCTTCCTCCATGGACCACTCAAGGGATGGGGAGACTGGAGAAGCCATTCAGCCAACCTCAGCCAGGGCAGCTGTGGTCTCACCATTCATTCCCTCTTGTCTGACCCCACAGAGAGCTGGCTTAGCATATTACACCAACACTTTTTTTTCTTTCTTTTTAGTTTCTCTGTAGAGTTAGTTTCCTGCACTGGCTCCCTGCAGGGGCAAGGAAGTGCTGGAGCTGGAAGCAAAAGCAGCAGGAGAAGTTTGTGGTGAGGGACAGAGAGAACAGAGAGCTGTCAGTGCCTGCTGGATTTGGCTTAGGCTGCTGGGGGGGAAGAGAGAAGAGAAGAGATGTGTCAATCACAGGGCATTTCTCCTCTCAAGGCCTTCATCTAGCCCTTAATCCAGAGCATCTCTCAGACCAGTGTCTCCCAGCCTTTCTAGACAAAAGGGTTGTTCGAACCTTTGAAGAACAAACTCACAGATCACCAGAAGCCTTGTGACCACAAAATAACGTTCACTTATAGCCAAGTAAAAAACAGGCTGAACTTTGAGTGTTTCCTTCCAACATTTTCATTGCCATGCACTGTTTGTGTATGTATGTGTGTATGCATAAATAGGTGAGCATGTCTTCCTTTAGACATGCAGAGCAATGCAAACCCCTCCAGTGGCCTTGCTAAGGAGCTATAGGTTCTCATGAGCTGCTTTCTGAATGTGCTTCACTGTTTAATTTTAAACTTGTTCAAGCTGATCACATGCACAGAGCCTTCTAATGCCCTCTGTCTAAAAGTATTTTCCCAGATTATGTTCCCAACACTTCCAATGTGTTTAGTTCTGGAATCAAAAGGCTCTCTTGTTCCACAGTTACGAATGCTGAGATTTAGTGAGATACTCATTTTCCTTAAAGCTTTCTCAGGTGGGTTTAGATTGATTAAGTTTATTAAAACTAATTTTCTAGTGGATTTTTCTCATTGCTGTTATACATTTACAAACTGCCACCCCCATTAAGTCTTAGTATTAGTATCTGGTTTTGCCATTTAAAGTACAATACAATAAAACAATAAGCATTACGTTCAAACTATCAAACCAGCACTAGCTATAGTTATAATCCAATAGAAAATTAGAGTCAGAGAGAAAATTTATTAAAACTAGCAATGAAACAAAACCTCATCATTCACCGTGTCACCTGCATATTAAACACAAGAGTCTCAATTCCTAATTAAGTTAAATTAAAGCTTAATGAATTTTTAAGCAGATTTAATAATACAGGGAAAAAAATACTCACCAAGGGGAAGTCCTGGGCTCACTTTGCCAATGTAGAAATACAGAATAACTGCTGCACCCAGGCTGACCAGGGTGTAGATCCACTGAATGACAAACGTTATGATGAGGGACACAATTGCCTGTTGGAAAGACATGGTTTGGGGTTATCCCAGAGTCTGTAAGGTAATATGATGTTGACAGTCCTTTTTCTGCAAAGCCCAGCAGCTTCACTGACCTCCTGCTCCAGCAGAAGAACTCTCTGTGGGAGAACTGGCAGTGTGGTGCCCGGGAAGGACTGTTCACCTTCAGACACAGCCCAACACTGACCAGGTCAGCAGCTTATTCCTCAACCTGGCAAGATGAGCATGGACAGCAACTCTTAACAGAAACTCTTCAATAACTGAGGCAGTGCTGGGACTTTCAAGTTGTTATGAGAGCATCAGGAAATGCACTTCTTCCCCCCCCCCCCCCCCCAGAAATGCAGCATCTTGGTGTTCAATGCATGCAAAAACAGTGCTTTGATGGCATTGTCACACCTCTTTCTCAGGGTTTTCTTGGGAGCCTTGTGTAAGAGACATGTACAGTCAGGCCCCAGGATACAGCCATTCAGAATTATCCTGATGAGTGGGGTCCTTTTAGGTGTCTCCTCCTAACGATGTGCTGGAATGGGCACACAAGAGAGACTCCCCTTGCACAAGACCTGCTGCAGAGCCCAGATCCTGCCCGTGGGAGTGATGATGCCACCTGCAACCACATGGGTGGATGGATGCCCTTGGGCATTGGTGGCTGAGGCCAGTGGTGCAGCAGGACCCCTGAGGAACCCACACCATCTCCTGCCTGGGAAAACAGCCCACAGCAAGTGGCTTTTGGCCACACAGACAGCATTTCCACCTACTGTTATCTGAAAAGATTAGGGTATGTCATGGGTGAGGGTTCCTGGAAATGAGGTTCCCATGATACAGAAAGCCTCATTTGGTCTCACTCCTAAAAGGAGAGACAGCACAGGTTTACAGTGTCATCTTCAGCAGCATGGAGCTTCAGTGAGCTACCCTGAGTCCTAGAAGCAGTGTGGGTCTCTGCTTGGGCTACTCCAAGAGAAGTATCCAGAGGCTCACCAGCTCAGAAGACAGATTTGGCTCAAGTGGCATATGAATGGGGTAGCATCTCCATGGGTGAGATTAGGAACAGCAAGGGGCAGCATGCAAAGGAAGAGCTAAATGAGTCCTGACTGACACGACCAGTGAAGCTCAAAAAGAGAGGCCAGAGGGCAGGGGGGAGAGGAATCAGGATAAATAAACACACCTGTTTTTTTGCTTTTGTGATTTTATATTTTATCATTGATCCTGTCCCAGCTCTGTTGCAACTTCCTCCCAAGTCTGACTATTGACAGGGAACCAAATCTGCTTTAATGAACACATCAGTCATCTCCTGCAAAGGCAGAGAACTGAATGCTCTGCCCTGACATACACTTGGGAGCCACATTAGTTACCGAGCCCAGAGGTGGCATCAGCACATAGCCTCCTAAAGATGACATCACTAAAGAGGGGCCACCACATCCAACCCACCCCTGGTGCTGCAGCCTGGTGCGACCCCTCATAAGGACGTGGCTGCAGGCAGCAGCAGCAGTGAATTTGAAAAGCAGGTATCAAACTCCATCTGAGGGTTAAACTAACAGGGTCTGGTGGGTTGTTTGAGTGGGTTTGTTACATTTTATGCACAGTTATGAAATCCTCATCCATGCAGCAAAGCCATATGGTTCATTCATTATGCATATCTGACCCTTTCCCTGTCATCTGCCCAATAATCAATCTTCCCAAGATGAATTTAAATGTCTTAAATTTCTCAGCAGCTTGAGACAGAAGCTATTTATAAATTATTTATTCTTTAAAGTAACATACTGGAGGAATGCTCTACTTTCCTCCCTCAAAAGATGGAATTTCACAGCCGGGCTGCTGGAATCAGGAGGTCAGCGCTAATGAAACCCCACCCCAAGCTTGCAGAAACTGGCTCACAAATAAAAGCAACACAGCTTTGAAGCTGATGTCTCAATCCATCCCACAGCAAGAAAAAGCAGGCTGGCACACAGTGAAAAGACGGACACTGATCTTTTTCCTAGCCAGCCATGCATCTTTAAAGTTTAAATTACAGACTTTGAATCTGTACCTTTTTGTTTTGAGTTGGGGCTTTTTTGTTTGTTTATTTGGGGGCTGGGTTTTTTTTTTCCTCTTGTTTAATATGTCATCAGGCTTTCTCTGAATTTGAACTGCTGGATGCATGGTACCTTGAGTACTTTAATTCAGGTATCCTGGAATACTAGAATACTAGATTCAAAAGCCATTTTTTTAAGTACTGGAGTGTATTTTGTGATGATTTTCCTTCTCTTTTCTACAATCACAAACCACTGCTCAAAAAAAAAAAAAAAAAAAAAAAAAAAAAAAAAAAAAAAAAAAAAAAAAAAGAAAATTACTTACAACAGCAAAGGACACCCAGTGACTGAAAAATCTGGAGTAGAAGGCTTCTGGTATTTGCTGAATTCCCAGCTCTGGATTTTGTTGCTTTATAGATGTTTCTACAGAAAAGAAAAAAAAGATTACAAAAGAGCTATAATGTGGGGTCTTTTCTTCTATTTTACATTACCAGATTCCAGGAACCAAAGCAAAAATTTTAGCTGACTGCTGAGTATGACAGAGTTAACCAAAAACTCTAAAATGAAAACTGAAAAGAAGTGCGAGAAAAAACAAAAAAGGTTGCCAACTCTGGTACTGAGTCCATTTGAAGGCTACATCTGTCTATCTCTGCCTCAGTTTCCCTACTTTGTGAAATAAGAAAAATAATAGTTTCTTCCTCAGAGGGGTTTATGAAGCTTCACTGACTAATGCTGATGAAACACTACAACACTGGGAATGAGAAGCTCCATGCAAACACACTTTATCAAATACCCACAATCACAAACAGAACAAATTCAGACCCTCAGTTATGGATGTTGAATTACAGAGTCCAGCTGTGGCATTGGGACCACTGAATTTTGATAGCCTGAGTTTTAGACTCACATAGCTCCATTCCTCCTAACCCACACCAGGATGAAGAAAATCCCAAGATACACTCAAACCCTTTTTAATGTACAGCATTAAGCATGTCTCTGTAGAATTATGAGTATATAGTAAACAACTCAACACTAAATATAGTCCTGCCTGCTTTCCTGTGATTAATCTTCTGTAGGAAATCGCATTGGAACTTCTCCTGTGATGCATTGCAATGAACTCTACCTTCACCTGGAATAAATGATATTATTGCTATGAATCACTGAATGACAGCCCAATATAAAGCTAGTTTCACGCCTGCCTTCAGGAAAGCACTGGGAGGGCCAAGGTTATAAACCATTCCCTCTGAGCTTGGAGATGTCTGTCTCCTACAGCCCTTAGCCTCTTCCCCTCGGGCCAGGGAGCATCATCACTTCTCTGCAGAACTGTTCCTCCTGCTCCAGCATCCCAGGTGTGTGTTGGGCAGACACAGTGGGTGAAGAACACTGACCTGCATCACTCTGACAGCCCTGCTCATCCAGGTCCCGCTGGCTCTCGCCGTGGGGCTCCGTGGTCTCATCCCAGCTGTACTGAGCTGGGGCAGCATCGTGATGGAGATCCAGGAGAAAGCTGTCTTGTAATGTCTGCTTGGCTGGCTTCTTCGCCTTTTGTTTGGCCTTTCGGGTTAAATTCTCAGCTCCTTCTTTTTTGCAAGTACCTGGCTCACTACAAAATGGTTTAAAAATCTGGTCCATGTCTTTTTTGAACTCCAGCAAGGTGCCATTTGATCTGCTTTGAGTTACTCCATCTGCTGCACGGCTTGAGGGCTTGTTGAAAATTAAAGGCTGGGAAGAGTGAGCAGGTCTAGCAGTTCCCATCTGGGTCTCATCAGGCTTCTGCTGAATGTTGTGGCTCAAGGAGACAGAGAAATAGCAATAGTCTACAGCAGTATATGTCAACATGTAGTTGATGGTGACTATGGGAGCAAGAACATTTACTTGCCCAATGAAGACAAAAGCCATAGTGATGAAACTTGTTAAGAAAATCGCAGCCACTGGAGTCTTGTTGGGGCCTTTCTAGTTCATAAATAAAACAAAATTACATTTAAATTAATAACCATGAACCTTGCCATGAGGATTCCCCACTTGCTCAGCTGCCATGGGTGGTTACCTGGGTTGTCTGCAAAGTACCCCCTTAGTCATGAAATACATGCATGCATGTGCAAACAGAGGCTTACAGGCCTAATAAATTAAAGAATAGGCTGGAAGCCAAAAGCTGTTCAGCTCCCACCTCATCCCTGAGCCTTACTCAAGCTTTGTCTTTGGAAAATTCATCCACTCTCACTTGTATCTCCATGGTAAAACAATGTCATTAAAGCAGCAATAAACCTTCAAAGAGATTTGTGGGGCTTATGGGAAGTCTGGCAATAAAATGTGTTAATTAGAGTTAACTGTTCATCTCTAATTATTCTACAGGATTCTGCATGGCTGCCTACCCCAAAGGCTCCTGTATGCTGCCCTTGGAAAGGCTTTGACTGCCACGGTCAAGGAAGCTCTGCCTGCACAGAGTGGTGCCACCTTCACATCAGCAGCTTCTGGCCCTGCCCTGACACACAGCTGAGCTAAACCCATGGTCTGCTGAGTCTCTGCACATGGGGTTTCCCTCCTTTAGCTCACCCAAGCTGCATCTACCCAACAGCAGGAGGAAAGCAGCAGTGAGACTGGGCAGGAAGGATGCTGGAGGGTGGGAGTCAGCCCCCAGCAATGCCAGGCATGTGTTGGGAAGGCAGGCAGCCAGGAGAAACATCACCTGCTCCTCTCCTTTGGGAAGGGGTGGAGGCAGGGAAAGGAGGAGATAAAGAGAGAGAAAGCAAAGAGCATTGGGGGTAGAAATACTTCAGCCATCAGTTCATGAACTGAGCCCAGGTCTAACATGCCCTTCCTTGGACCAGGCATTGTGTTGCCATTTTGCCACCTGAGAAGCCTATGCAGGCTGTGTAAAGACCTTGCTGGAAAATATCTTACAAAATATGCTAGGTTTTCACTTACTGCATTTACTTCTTTAATAAACACACAGCTCGAATTGAAACTATTTCTATTTCCTTCCCTCTTATTTATTAACAGAAAGGGAGACCAGTTCTGGACCATTACATCTTTTCAGAATGAATAGAAATACATCTCCGGGACAAAGGAACACAGATCTCAGAAAGCATCTTCAGTATCAGAAAGATGTACTGAGATGGGGAACAGATGGAATGATCTCATGATGCCTCTGGCTTGGGTTTAACTCTACAGAAAACATTTGTGTCCTTCCCATCAGCTGAGGTTTTGGTGACCACACTTTCTTCAAAGAATAACTGATGTGATACAGAACGGTAAGGACAAATTAGATGTATTTACTCTCCATAAACCAAATGTAAACAATTTTCAAGGTGACAGAGAGAAGAAAGGGGCAAAAGTGATCTGTCTTTGATTTCTCACCTCTTTTTGAGCCCTTCCCATCAAGGCACTCTGCCTGGAGTTCACTGCAGAAAATTTGACAGAAAGACAGAAAACTATCAGAGCAGAGAGGGAATCAACTTTCCAGTCACCTTTGATAAACCACTGAGAATTTCACAAGGGTTGCCAAGTGGAGAACAGCCTGTTCTGGGATCACCTGAAAACTGCCTTCAGGAGCTGGAAGTTTTTGCTGTTGTTATTGTTCCTACTTTCCCTATAGTTATTACTATTTATAATTATTGCTATTATTATGACCTTTATCTTAGCAAATTACTTTGAGAAACATAAAACAGTGGATAGAAAATTATTATATTAATAAACATTTAAATATTTTAAAACATTCATAAATACCACTATTGTAAAATATTTTTCTGTATTTACAAGGTGCTCTGGAGGAGCAGAGCACCATAAGGCTTTTCCAGCCACTCCACACACAGTTAGGTACTGCAGGTTATTGAGAGTCACAGAATTATTTTCTCCCTCTCCAGAATAATGGAAAATCATAAGAAATTGTTTGCTCTAGATGTATAACCCAAGACTACAGTCCTTGGTGACTGATACCTTGACTGATATCAGTAGAATGACTCATGAATGAAGATTATTCATGAGGACAAGGGAAAAGCTTTTTGTCATATTCCAAGCAAGACTTTGTTTGAAAGCATATCTAAAGCTTAGATGTCCCCCTAACTGAACCTTTCAAATCTATTCTTTGTTTTTATTTAATAGTGTCCAAAAGGCACCTTATCTTACAAAGAAGAGTCCTCTTCTCCAGTGCACAGAGACTGAATCCACAGCACCATGACTAGTCACATCCTCAGCTATGAGGTTACCACAGAGGACAGGAACAGCTCAAAGAAAGTGTGCAGGAAAGAATAAGAAAAAAGAAAACAGAAAAAAAAGGTAAACAGACAGTTACCATCCATTTCACCAAGTGTAGAGACAAAATTTGAGGCTTCTGCCCTGGACAGAAGGGCAGAGAAGAGCTAGGTACTTCCTTTGGTCATGGTCAGGATCAGCACCATGTGGATAAGGTGTTTGCAAAAAATATCCAACAGGCAAAGTTATATCATAAGTGGCTGTTTTACTGCAGACATCTTGAAGAAGTGGGTCAGAGGGAGGGAGGGGACCTCAGGAACGGCTGTCCATGCGTGGCAGGACAGACAGACCCAGGCTGGGGCACAGAGGTGGGTGAGCAAAATGCCAGGGAGAAGCAGAGCTGCCCCTGCACAATGACACACCCTGTGGGAGGGCTCAGGGCAGGGAAAGGACCACAGGCAGCTGGATGCCTTGCTTTTTTCATGAAACCACCCATTTCCTGGCTTTTCTGTCTATGCATAGCATAGTGGATCCTGAGCCTTCCCCTCCTTGCATTTCACACATCCCTCATCTCACGCTACAGACACATCTTGGGTGTTTAAATTCAGGTGAAGTTTTGACAGCAATCTCAGAGAAGGGATGACTAACCCCATGTCCAAGGAAGGTGAGCATAGGGATCACATTCTCCTGGGCAATGCACTGCAGGATCCTCGGTGCTCCATACAGCCCTCCCATGCAGGAGGCCAGGGATGAGATGTACAGCCCTAGCAAAAACAAAAAACCCACCAAGGATACCTGGAGGAAGCGGAGAGAATGCAAAGTTGATTATATTGTCCTTTAAAGACCCCCGAGCAGTCTTAAATACACGTATTTTGAGAGATCACATATATTTTGTAACATTGTTAAATGAACAGAGAGAGCCCTGGGAAAGCAGCTATTTAATTGGTCTGTGGTAAAAAGTACAAGCAATTAATACAGGAAAATTATCCCATAAAAGTAATTTAATACTGAACATCCTGTACCGACAGAGACATTTTACAAGCTCATATCCAAGAAATTCTTTGTCACTTGGAGCAATTGCAGCAAAGCTGCAGCTATTAGATTCCCCTTAAGTAACTGGAAGTGAGTTTATTTCAGGAGAGATCACTTATATACAGAGCACATCATACAGGAAAAGCTGCCCAGGCTTCCAACCATCCAAAACAGGAAGACAAACCCCTGCATCTCAGAGGGGAAAACCAATCCTGAAAGAAAACCCACAGTAAAACCAAATCAAAATTGCCACTTAAATAAATGGCATCTCAAAAAACATGCTCCAAAGGATATAATACAATGACCTTATTTTCCTGTCTTCGATGAGAAAAGAATTTCCTTTGGCCAACATGAAACTTTAAAAAAAAAAATCTTTAAAGCCATAGTGCTAACAAGGCTGGGTTTTAAACTGGTTTCTGGAAAGCATCCTTTCAGTCTGGGAGTATCTCCTGCAGGCGTGGAGGAAAAGGAAAGGCAGTTCTTGGTCTGTCACACAGAAGCAAGGACAGGGGTCCCTTTAAGCAGGTCAAGAGCTGCAAGCACAGACAGCACATCTAAAAAAGCCCACCCAAATACACAAACTCCCACAACTAAGGAAACTAAGGTCTAGGGTCACCTGAGCCATCCCCAAGTCCTCCAAGACCACACAAGTCTGACAGCCAGCAGCCAGGCACAAAGAGCAGCAAGGCATGGGGGTAACACCAGCACTAAGGCCAGGCAGAGAGAAAAACCCTGCCCATACTCCACTGAAGCAAGTGCTGGAGGTGCAGACAGACATCTGTAGCAGAGAATACCACCAAATGCAGGTGCCCTGCATCCCACATGTCTTTTGCTCTCACCCCTCCTGTCGAGGAAAGAAGGTGAAAAATGAACGCTGGTTCTCCTAGGTTCTGCCTCTGTTGAAGTCAGATGGCACATTCTTTATTAGAAGGAATTACAAAAATCTACATGGCTAAAGATGAGTCAAGCAACATCTGGCTTTTTCCTGTCTATGAAATCTGCATGCAGCAAAAAGGAGACTGGGTAAAAAAACATAAAAAGTTCATTGTTTGGGGAAGACATGTAAAATCAATGTCACAATCCAGAACTGTACAAACTTCCTACCACAACATTGCTTTTCCCCATGAAAATCCACTTGGCTTTGTGAATTTTATCTTGTGGGACAGAAGAAACCTGAGGCAAAGATGAGCAGATATCAGCTGCCATTAGACCAACAGACACTCAGTGGGAATCTTCCCTTCCCTCCCCTCTAATCCTACCCTGCTCTGAAAAATACTTGGAATAAACAAACAGTTGTGCCAGACATCATATATTATTTTAGCTGCTAAAAATGCTCGCATTTAAATGTGCTACTTGACATTCAAATCAGGGTTAGAGGGGAAGAGTCCCTTTCACTGAGGCTGATGAAAGGGTTTGCTGTGGGTTTTGAACACAGAGAGTGTGAATATATTGCAAGGAATTGGCACTTGGAGCTCATTAGAAGTGAAATTACTGAATCTCATTTTTATGTTTAAAAAGACAAACAAATATTGTACCAAGAAAAGCAGCCAAGCACTCGCTCACCTGTGAGTGACAGAAAGGGAGAGTTTGGAGGAGTAATGATCTCTCCCTCCTCCCTCTCTCCGATGTAATTAAAATCTAAAGCAGTTAGATAGCTTAAAGAAGCAACATGAATATTGGGATTGCATATTTGGTTCGTTCAGTACTAGGGAGACAAAAGCTGAAGAAGCTTTTTCTTTTTTTTTTAAGGGGGGGTGCGTTCTCTCGTTTGTTTTTTATATTTATCATTATTAAATATCTTCTCATTCTTTACTAGGAGATTTTTCATCTCCTCCCTAGGGGTTTTGAAGTTAAAACACAGCTTTAACAATCTCTTTCTCTTCAGCTGATTCATTTAAATCTGATTCTTTTTGTTACTGCACTTTTCACCCACTAAGTCATTGATGAACAAAGAGGTAGGCTCATTCTTTTTTACCCTGAAACAGAGATTTTTTTTTTTTACCTTAGCAGGAAGTGGCAGAGCCCCACCAACAATCTGGAGTTTATTTGGGGGGCTGGAAGAAGTCTAGAGCTAAAATTACTTAGAAAACAAAGCCAGGGTTTTAAACTGACATTTTAGATTAAAAACCATGTTACAAATCAAATAACACAAGCTTCTCAACTTCAAATTAATCACAAGAAATTGTGTCAAATACAGTGAGCCCATGATTTTGGATAATGCCAAATAACAGAAAATTAGCCCTTTTATATCCCATTCAAGGTAAGACAATGGCACACACCAAAATCTTTTGCTCTCCTTTTAAAGGCCTGCAATGGTGAGACGTAGCATGTTACACTACAAACCTCCCTTGTGTACAGACACCCGTGTGGAACGTCTGGAGTTTAATAATCCTATTGCTTGCCCTGCAATTACAGCCTGCTAGATATGGAAATGTGAGCTTCGCTTGACTTAGTAAAGATAAGCAGGGGAGTTCTTTAGAGATTTCAATTTGGTCTAAGCTTTCACACGCGAGAAAGGATACATTGAATAAAATACAGCATTTATCATTAGACCACATTAGCATACTTTAGCTCTTAAAGCTATTGCTTGGGTGATAATGCCAAGATTCAGCATTACTGGATATGCTGGTGAATGCGAAGCTATTCAAATCAATTGTACACTGGGATTTGCAATAGGGAAATCCCCCTGAATTTTAATGAGGGATGCATACCCAAATTCCTTAGGCTTTTGGAAAATTCAAGCATTCAGCAAGGCAGATGACAACCTGAAAGCACCACTCTATAAAACCATGCTGGGTTATTCGAACAACTTACCTTCTCTGCTATCATGAAGTCATAGCGCAGTGACTGACGGGTACAAATGGCTCCCAGCAAAAAAACAAAGACCATGTACAGAAACCACCTGCAAACAACAAAAATAAACTTTTTTTTTCCCCCAGCAAGACAAAGCCATTGAACATTCTGCTCACTAGGAGAGCCAGGAGACAGTCAAGTACCCACAAGTTGGGTCTTGGATGACTCTGCATGGTTCCTGCATGATTTAGCTTCAGGGCTAAATTTAATACTGGTCCTTATTACCCACTATGATGTGCCAGGGACAGCTGCAGCAGAACTGTATGGTACCCCTGAGGGGAAGCCACCAGCATTCTTGAGGTGTGCATGGAGAAATATCTTAGTCCTGGGGACATGCCTTTTAGTAGGGCCTGCAGCAACAGGACAAAGGGCTAATGGTTTTAATCTAAAAGAGGGTCAATTCAGACCAGCTATAAGGAAGAAATTTTCTACGATGAGGGTGGTAAAACATAGGCTGCCCAGAGAGGTGGTGGATGCCCCACCTCTGGAAACATTTAAGGTCAGAATGGATGGGGGTCTGAGCAACCTGATCTAGTTGAAGATGTCCCCTCTCATTGCATGGAGGTTTGGCTAAATGGCCTTTTAATGTTCCTTCCAGCCCAAACCATTCTGTGATTCTGTGGTTCTGCAGGTACACAGGTCCCCCCATCCGGCAGCAGTGTTACCAGCGCAGCCAGTCTGCTCTGCAGCCTCGGTTATGATCCTCCTCTGGGGTCTCTGGCCCTTCCAGTACTCAGGTGGGGAGATAAGTTAGTCTGTCTGTAAAGCCCAGACAGCAGAGATGGGAATCACATGGCCATGAATAGCTGGGTATCTGTTATGCTCCTGCGTCCTGTGGAATCCCCCCACTTAAAACAAGCACCAATTTCACCAGGAATCCTTCCAAATTTTGAAGATCCTTCCTTCCTGACTGAACCTTGGTACACAGTTAAAAGCAATAATTTCAAAGGTAATTTAGGTGGCAATGAAAGCAGGCAGGAAAACCTACTGGGGGGGGGTGTTAATATGTAGCAGTACTTTACTCCTAGAAAGTTGCATTTCTTCAGGGAGAGCATTACTTGGCTTGGATGCAGGGCTCCTCTGTTACCCTGGCCTTGCAGGTGGGTAGGTCATCTCACCTGTCTTGGCCTCATTCTCCCAGTAATAAAAAATATAAATTTTTAATTATTATTTTCTATTTATATAGAGAAATAAAGAAAAAAAAACATAAAACCCCCTCTGAAATCAACAGCAATAAATGACAAAATCACACACCCCAAGCCTTCAAGAACTCTGCATCCCATTCTGGGACAGCCAGGCTGCAGGAGTTCAACCATTCCAACACCAACACACATTCCACCCAGCAGAGGAAGGACATTAACAAAGATTTTCTTTAACCCACCCAGACTACGTGGTGGTAATGGATGATAATTTGAATGAGAGCCACACTTTAATTTTCCAGATGGCTGAGTAATACAAGGTTGATGGGAATGTGAAATGGATTGGTCACACCCAGGGCTGTCTCCAGAGTAAATTTTCCCCGATCTGTGACTTACGAGGTGCCAATAGCAGCCAAAGACCCCAGAGGGATGTTGGTGGGAGGATTCCGGAGATCTCTACTCATGTCGAACCCAACCATCACACCTGTATTTTGCAGACATAAGTGCAATTTAGAGTCAAGAGAAGTTATAGTACATATAATACACATTAAAATATGTAATACAATTTAATCAATCAGTTCATTGATTGATTCAGAGTAGTAACTGTATCACTTCATTGCACTGCCACACAAACGAATACTGGCCCCCATGGATTGCTTGGTAAGAAACTGTGTCTTTCATAGAACCAAGCCACTTCTAACACATCAAAGAACCCTTTGTCCAGTTTGAACAACGCTGGGCAGGGGAAAAGAAACAATATCTGAACAAAACCCATCTTATCTTAATACAAACCTCACAGAAGACAATGTAGCCCAATTGTTGAAAAGAAAAATGCCAGTGTTCATCACGGCAGCACATGTAGCAGGTGGTACTACCCCCGGATCAGATCCATTACAGGTCCCTGCATTCATAGGGGACAGCCACCCTTACAGAACAGCCTGTCCTGTCCATGTTGAGTGATGATCACATGCACATTTATCAGAGGGAATAACAGCGCTCTCTGCACGTAGGTGGCACCTTCCAGCCAAGGGATCTGCTTTCGAAGTAGGCATTATCTCTGCTTTCCAGATAGGAAAACAGAAACACTGAGAGGGCAAGTGATTGTCCCAGCGTCACGTAGAAAACACATGGTAGGACTAAGAATAAAGTACTGAACTGTTATTTTAGGCCAGAGTACAGGGTATTATACAATCAGGGAGAGTCCTTAGCCTAAAAAATTACCATCTAAAGACGCAAGAAAAGGAAACGGGATGAAGCAAAGTATTAGAGTCTCCACATTAAGACTAGAAACCCAAGGTACAGAGTGGTTAAGAGGCTTTGTCCATGGCTGAAGGAGGAGTCATACCAGCCTTGTCACATTATCCCAAAAGTTTTCCTAGAAGACTGCAGGTATCTGCTATAAATAATAAATAAATAAATAAAAATCTGTGATTTAAAATCATGATGAGAATTGGGACAATTTGAAGGCAGGACCAAAGAGCCTCTTTAAGATGCGAACTTCTGCCCATCACCATCCCACCCCTCAGATGTCAGACAAATGTCTCCATAACGACACGTGGGCCAGGAGCCAGCCAGCAGTGCTGATGGAATGGTCTTCCCAAGACGAAGGATAAACAGAAGCCATGGGACAAATCTCAGGATAAAGGGGACAAACACAGATCAGCCAGATGGATGCCTTCCCTATTACCTACAGACCTTGCATGGCCACTGATAGGCTGCCAACAGGGCACAATGGCTGGGTTGCCAATCAAGGAACAGGAACTCGTCTCTGTCTCAGGCTTTGCTGTGCATCTTCATAGCTCATCACCTCATCTGCTCCATGGAAATCATAACACTTCCTCTCCTCACTGCACTGCTCTGAGGATAGCACATAAATGAGCACAAGGCACCAACCTGTTGCCAAACACATCCATGGCTTTATTTGTTTATTATTAATACCTTTTCCTTGTTCATCTCTCTTTTTTCCCCTCGATCAGTCCACTCACCAGCCATCTTTTTCTGTCATCTCCACCATGGAGACAGAGCACCAACAGCCACTCCCTGGTCCCCACAGAATCCTGGCATTTCTCAGCTTCTGGAAGAGCTTTTCCTCCAGATTCAGACCAGATTGACGCCATACCAAAAGCATTACAAATCAAAATGAGTTCCTTAATTTTCTCCTGGAAGACTATTTTGTGGATGTATTTCTGAACAGCACAGCTAAAAGCCTGTCAACTGCTGTAGCTTTCTCTAGATAAAGCAGCCAAGCCCTATTCAAGCCCTGTCCCTTTTAAGCAGTTACACAACAGGCTTAGCTGGAGGTGAAAAAAGTTAGGCAGACGTCCATGGAAATAGTCACAAATATCATGCTAAACAAAGTCTCTGGGAAGCACTCTTGATGACACGCTACTTTGCCATTCAGGGACAAAGCAGAAAGCTGAGAATACTCTGATTTTTTCTTCCAAAGGGAGCAAACTATTGTCAGGAGGACAGATGTTAATCTCACGTGCCTCTTTGCCAAGTCTCTCAAACATCTGGCACCACCTTTAAATCTTACATCTTGAGATTTACTCACCTCTTCCTCATCCAAAGTCCTGCCTCAGCAAAGCACTGAGGAAACACCAAAACAGCATTTTCTGGAATGAACTTGAAGAAAGTTGAAGAGGTGAGTCATCAGCACAGCGGTGACTGCACAGCCCGAGCTGCCTCACTGCCTCCCTCCCACGGACCCACGCACACTCGGGAGCAGCCAGGAGATGACCTGCCAGAGCCCACATAAAGAGGATCTGGAGACTGATGACTGACCTCCTGCTGTGCAATGATCAGGGGTCAGATCCAGGCCACTGCTCACCATTAGCTTCTGCCACGGCCCCCAGGAGGTCACCGCAGTCTCATGGCTTCCAGGGCCAAAGGCCAAGGCCATCATAGAGGGAACCAACACAGATATTCTGAGCCACTCAGGCCAAAGCCATCTCCTCTGTGCTGCAATTATGCCGCCTCTGACCTGACTAGTACAAAAGTATGGACAATCTGGTAGTACAGATGTATGGACAATGCCAAAGTCACCTCTTCATCACCACCCAAAAAGTAATTTTCCAGATGGGATGACTGCTCCCAAAGAGCAGTTCTAAGAAGGTCTTTTGTAAGACTAACCAATCCACTTTCCAATGAAAGGACAACCTGATTAATTTAAAAAAAAACACCATCCTAAACAATCTCCACCATCCAAAGCCTCTGACAGCCCCTGCCAGAGAACTGGTCTGACTTGCAAGAAGCCACAAAAAGCCTTGCCAGAGATTCTGGCTGTGTGACAGAGTAAAAACCCTACACTTGCGTATGAAACTCAACAACATAGAGAATTCAGGACGTTCCTTTCTTCAGACACAGGGAAGAAATCCCTAGGGAAATGGTCAATCCCCTCTGAACTCAATCAATCATATCTGTAGACTGTTCACAGAGAAAATTATCCACCTCTCTGTTTCAACGAGATAGCAGGCTGGATTTTCCACACTGGCTATTATCTTAGAGAGCAGCAGATAATGACAAAGCTTCTGGACAAGGAAGCATGAAAACACAGTCAAACCAGCCAGGAAATTATGGCTGAGACGGTCTGTACATTGCTGCTATTCCCAGTGTAATCTGGTTCTGGGCATCATCCAGGTGGTGGATACATGCAGGACGGGACCACCTACATTGTCTGTTAGACACTATCACCAGCTCCACCAGCTCTGGCTTCTAACTCCACCAGCTATAGTTTATGACTGCAGATATGATCGCTTGCAAACACCCATTGCATTTTTCAGTGAACTTACTATAAAATATAAAAGGGTTTTTTTTTTCCTTCACCCAAGAGATGAAGAATGGAAAATGTTAGATAAGAATTGTAGCTAATTTTTTTAAAGGGCCAACTTCTCCACTGATGTAAGCTGGCACCTCTCCATGGACTTTAATGGAGTTGTGCCAGCTTACATCATCTGATAACTTAGCCCAAAGCTTCTAAATCTATTTGCTGTCATTTTGCAAGTGCCAAATATGGTTTATTTCAGAACTGGTTTCAGTACGATGATACTTTCCACTACCACCGCTTCAAACGACAACTTACTTTCTTGTATCGCATGACAACACACTTCTTTCATTAGACAGAAAACCTTGGGGATTTTGTAGAAAAAGAAAAACATTTCTTGCACAACAGAAATTACATTTATCTTCATTTTAAAAATGCATTGATGGTTGCATGGCTGCTGCTGGGAGCTGACTATGGGCAGGCAGCTCCCAAGACTCCCTCCCTGTGCTGGGTGGTTTGCTGAGTGTTTGCCTGTCACAGCACAGCAGCAAAACATGTGCATTAAGAAGGTATTTACAAACATGTACAAAAACCTCTGCTTAATGCACAGCATCTCTATAGGGGCATGTTCACATCTGAGTATCTAGTGAGTACTTCAGTCTTTTTGACTGAAACCAGCAAATCTGAGTCTTCCATGCCCTTTTAGGCCAGCTCTAGATGTATATTTTGGATCGCTCAGCAACTTCTCTGTGATTAAATGACAAACTTGGGGGAATAAAGCCAGCTGCACTGCACATCCAACTGAAATGGTTTAAACAGCTATTACCCAGGGAACAAACAGAGCAGCCTCTGCTTACCAGCACTCAATCGTAAAACCAGGATAACTTCACTCGCGTTGCCGGAGTCATACCAATAAAATACAGGGAAATAGAAAACAACCCGACCTGGAGCAAAACAATCCAAGGAGGATGGTTGTAGGAGGCAGCATGTTGCTACTGGTCTACAACAGGCTGGGATGACCATCCCATGCCCTCCAGTTGAAGTATCCCCCTGACAGCTCCTCCTGCCTGTTTGGTCCCAGCAAGGGTCTCCCCACAAGTCCTGCTCCCCTCTCCTGAAGTGGCTGCCACTCTTTCCTTTTATAGCTACCAGCCTGCATTTCAGAAGTTTCTGTTTCACTGTTATTTCTGGTGGAAACAGGCAACTTCATACCACTTTTCAGTACATCCCAGAGACCGAACAAACCAGTTGAATTCAGACAACCATTTCTAGTTAGAGAGGAAAAAGCTTATCCTGAAGAGATCAAAATAGTTTCACTTCAAAGAGGAACATTTCATCTCAGAAAGGCCCAAACAATTTGTTTCACAATTTCCTAAACATTTTTTTAAAAAACTTTGTTATCAAAACAGCATCTTAAATTGTAAACTAGCATATGCTAAAAATTAAGAAGAGTAAACACAATATTTAATAACTAAAGATAAACAGAACATTGCTCTGGGTCAAAGAACTGTTTCAAGCTGGTTCAATGTAACCCTTCAAAACTAAATAGCATATTGTTTTGCTGAACTCTCCTCGAATTTCTGTTGTATCTTAAGGCAAAGGATTTTGCTTCTAGTGCTTCAGCCAGGTCACTGTGGGGGTTCCAGAAGAGGTGGGCAGTTGGAGGTGACAGCCTGGGAGCAATGTTCCCCTGTCCCTGTCATTCCTCACAGTCTGCATCACACTGCCTGCCCTGCATCAGAGGCACTGGCAATCCTATCACGTCTCACCAGACTCCTATTAATGCTCCTGCCAAGCCCATCCCTGAAATGTCATCTCCAATCTCACAGACCGCCTCTCCTGCTGGAAGGCTCCGGCTGCATCCAGACAGTGCCCACAATGCAGTGGGAAGCAGCTCTGCTCCACCAGGTAGGACCTCAAGCAACCCAGGGCCCCCTTTACAGCCCAGCATCCATCACACCCCTGCTGAGGGGAGGAGGATGACAGCTACACTAGTGGGGTCAGATGGGGCCTGGGGGAACCAGCTCTCACTTACTGCCCCAGCCCGAGGAGATGTGGGCTTTGTTCCCAGCACTCAGCAAAAATGGGCTCCCGATTTGTGATCTGCACCAGAGAAGTCTTGACTCCCATCCTAGAAGTTTCTTAATCAGACCACAAACTCTTCCATGCAGAGCACCAAACACAACCCCACGTTTTATGAGGCTCCTGATCTCTGCTATGAACAGCAATAACAAGAGCAATAACAATGTTATACGGTACCACTGCCACTGCTACTCCGAAGGAATAATTTAAATCCTATAAATAACCAAGCAATTAAAAAGAACACATGAAAAAGCTGTGTAACAACCAAAGTAATTATACATCATCCCAAACTGTATTTTCAGAGAATGTTTAACATTACTACTGGTATTACTACTGCTAACTAAACAGAGCAACAGGCTGCCAGGGCTTTAAATAAATTGTATCTATTAGCTTTGGCATTCTTCCTCGCAGCCAAGCATTAGCAGTGATGAAGAATCATTTAATACGGCTAATCATGGTAATTTTCTGCGCAGTCTTGTCATAACTATTCCTTCTTCTATAACCAATGAATGGGAAATGAACTATAACCAATGAACTCTGCTTTCTTGCACCAGAGGCAGAGCTCTCGAGGAAGGTCTTTTTCTCTGGCTGGGGGACTCAGATGGGTCAGTCAAAAACGACAACAAAAAAGAGGGCAGAAGCCATTTTCTCTGTGGTGCCGATAGTTCAGGCCAGTGAGTTTTCCAAGAGGAAGTCTACAGAGAGGTAACAGCCACCCTAATAAGCTGGGAGAAAGGATTTCAAAGGATAATTTGAAGTCCTGCACTAGGTGCACCTGACAAAGTGACTTCTGCTACCAGACCATTTCTCCAGTCCCATCCGTTTCACAAAACCCTTTCATTTGTCTCCTTGTACTGCAGCAATTCTGCAAACAACTTCCAGCGAGTTGCTTAGAGCTAATCCTCTGAAAATTCATTCTGTAATCCAAGGATTCATCGCTATGGAAACTGCTTATAATCGGTACTTTTTATAGCTTAAAACACCCAGCATCAACAAAAGGTATTGTAACTCCAACTGATAGTTATTGCATTCCCACTGGAGATTGTCAGCTCTGGAAAGGGGACATGCATCTTCCTGCTAATTTAAGGGAATGAATAATATGAAGGCATCTAATTAAGCTCATGAATGAGAGCTCTGCCAACATACAAAGATGAACCCATGATGCCATGCAGCAGGTGGTGGGTCAACATCACGAGCAGTGGCATCAGCCCAGCTCAGCCACCTACTGAGGTAAGAATGGAGGGAAAGTTCTCCTGTGCTCTTCCTACTCTCCCAGTGCAATCAAGTCACAAGGTTCATCTTATATGATAAATCATGTTCAGCCCTTTTAAAAAGGCTTGATATCTCATGGCCTGACAGCACTGGCCAAGATCAGTGCCTGAGCCTTGTCCTTGGCAGGGAAGGATTTACACCACATCAACCCACAGAGTTCAGCAGCAGTTTCTGATTACAGAGATGGAAGAGCACATTCAAGTGAACAGGACAGGAGAGTACAAAATTTCAAATGCTGGAGGGAAGCCTGAACATTTTAAATCAACCACATGAGTCTGCTATGGCCAAGTGCAGTCCTGCTCGCTTCGCCTTGCAGCCCAGAGGAACTCCACTTGCTTCTGCTCATCTCTGAGATGTGCCTGTGGAGGGAAAGAGGGGGAGGACAAAACTTAACAGTACCTGTGGCAGCTGGGAAAAACACTCCAAAAACTGTGAAGAAGGACTCCCCCTGGCTGTAGTCTGGCAGCGTGTTGTTGGACATCAGCTCTGCGGAGTAGCCGACGAAGCCGTTCTCTGCAAAGACAGGGCGAGAGGAGAACCTCAGAAACCAGCAGGGCTGCAGGAGACTCTCCAGCTGCTCTCAGCGACCACCCATCCTCTCAACACACCAAACTGCAGCGGCTGCTTCCAGGGATCATTTGAAAGGATAACTGTCAACTTACACGGTGGGGGGAGAAGGCAGAAAAGAGGTCCGTGAGGTTACAAGGTTGCAAGTGCCAAGGAAAGGCACAGGGGTGCAGACCAGCACATGGAGAGGCACCATCAGGCTGGGCAGCTCCTGCCACGCCAGAACATGGACTGTATGGAGTCCTGTCTCCAAGCAATCAGGGCATCTTCCTGTGAAACGTGGCTACTGAGGAAAACTGCCTAAGGGATCAGATATTACATTTTTAATATTATCTATACTTATTTATCCATGCCAATTTAATCTTCTTTCCAAAATGAGCAAAATGATGCTGCCATAAGACAACTGCAATTTTGAGCAAGCCCTCACACCATATCCCAGTGCTGTGTTCCTGTTAGTCAAGCTCTTGCACAGACAAGACCTGAGATGTGCCCATGCTGTGAAGCTGCTACCAACACACCCAATTTATACACTGGTTGCCAATGAACCGAAAGCCAAAACCACCGATTTGCTGCAGGGTGGTCTCTCCCCTACAAGATGACTCTCTCAGTGGAGAAGGAATGAAGAGCTCTAAAACTGCCCACTGCCTCATCATACACTTAACCCTCCTGATGCCTTTGCTCTCCTGTTGTTGCATTAGCATCTCCAAATCTGGTCAAAACATGGGGTTGTGCAGCACAACCAGCCGCACTCCCCCCACCCCCAGTCTTCTGCAGATGATTATCATGGCACAACAAGGAGCAAATGTAGAGACCCTTGGCTGTGCCCCACTCCCCACATCAACTTCTGCCCTGTCTTTCTAAGTTACACACAAAACCAAAAAGTTTTTACTTTCCAAACAAAAAGTTTTACAGAAGATAGGAGAGAGGGGAAAGCAATAGGCAGGACATCATCATCATCATGCACCTCATCTACTCATACAAAATGGAGGATCCTACTCCCTCAGTTCACAGTGGAAGGATGAATCAAATTCTTCTACAAACCTGGATTTGTTAGGAAGAGTTGAGTCTGACAGCTGACGTACCAGCAGGGCATTCACTAGGAAAGGTTTTAGATGCTTACAGATAGAAAAGATAGCTTATGATAGCTATAGGTTAAGGAATTAATGGATATGTCTATGAAATTAATAATTTCATTTTCAATAGGCAACACTGCCTTTTAATGGAGTATCTTAATCTATGGAAACTTCTCCTCCCTGTCAGTACTCCAAATGGTCGTGCCAGCTGGGGGTGGAAGGTGAGGAAAGTCGGTTCCTTTTTTTCTCCTGCCACTACAATCTATTTCCACAAGACATGTGACTGCAATAACCTGAATTTTCTCATTAGCAGGCAGGATGTTGTTTATGGCTGCACAGGGTGATGGCCAGAAATTAAAAAAAGACTCCATCAAAGCTGTCCCATGCCTCAAAGACAACATTAATAATGTTTGGACAATAGATTAAACCGGAAAATTAAATCAGAGCTCTGAACACAAGACATATCCATTTAAAGTCTCAGAATATAACTAACCACAGAGCTTTGAAGTTGTCACAGAAAAATCCTATAGATAATCAAAAGTTTCCTACTACATCTGCATTCATTGTGTTTCCCAAACATGGATGGAAACACACTTGATAGAAGAGGTCTCCTGCTGCTAGGCTTTCTAAAAGCACTAGCTATCTCCACTAGGAACAAGTCCTAGATGAGATTTAAAGGGAATAAGCTCAGCACAACACATTGACCTCTGGACCTCACAGATGTCTGCAGAAAGTGCAGCTTCTGGAGAAATAAAGGGGGAATTTGTGTAGGCTGTATGTTCCTGTAAGACCAGACCCGAGTGCCTTCAACTGGGATCCACATCCATGATGTCACATGGGCTGGCTGCAAAGTTCCCACCAAATTGCTCAAGGAAAATTTGGTCCTTGGCCAAGGGATTTTTCACAAAGTATGGGCTCCTCCTAGAAATGTTAATGTTTCATTAGTAAAACAAAAGAAGCGAGCAAAATATTCATCTCACCCCAAGAAGATCTGCAGGCCTTCTCCAACCTGTGCTTCGCAGCAGCACCATCAAATACATCTATGTCACTTGACAGAAGTTTGCTCCGCTGATTCATAGAAGTCTCCCTTGAAGTGGACTCTATTCTCTCTTGATTGCTTACTCTCATATTTTCCTGTCTTTATCATTTAGGTTTCCCCTAACCACAAATTGTCCTTTTCACACCATTTTTCTAGTTTGTGGAGGTCATCTGAAGGCCTGACTCTCTCTGCCAGATGCTGCATGTCCTTTCCAGCTGGGGGTCACCTTCAAACTGAATCTGCATATTCTCTTTAGCATCATCCAGGAAGCTAAGAAAAATGCCAAATAACACCAAACCAAAACCAGACCCCTGCAGAACTTCACCAGGCACAGTGTCCTGCTTTGCGAGTAAACCATCTCCAGCTGGGGTCTTCCAGTGGTGTTTTGAGGTTTTGTAATTCAAATGAGGCACTTTGGGTGCCTTCTGTTTCCTTCCTCATACAAAAGGCCAAGTATACAACCAGGCTGTATTTCCTGTGGTACTGTTTTGGCCATACTATGGCCACAGACTGACCATGAGACTCATGAGTCCAATGTCTGACCTGCATCTGTATGTATCTGACTGCTATTAATCTCAAGAAGTGAAATGATACCTTGTGCTCCATTCATTCCTACGTCCTTCCCTTTTCTACTTAATTCCCCTAAGCGGAAATCCTGGGTGAAAGAAACAAAGCCTGAAACTATGGCAGATGTCACTGGAACCACAGAAAACGACAGCCATGGATTTATTGAAAGAGCCACAGGATGTGCCTACATCTCTATCCCACTTCTGCTTCCTCTCTTCACGGCTCTGGCAGGTGAGAGGAAGCCCAGCCATTCCACATTTCCCCTGTATACAGAACCAGGAACTTTCTTGACTAATTAAAGAGAAGTTCATCCAAATGTTAGTTGTCATTGCAACCTCATTCCTCATTCAATCACCCTCCTGTGAAGCAAATCTCACATCCCTTTCGATTGGTTTTGCACCAGGATTTGCAGTCGCCATCAATTTAAGCAAACTATGGGCACAGGAGCACAGAGCTGAGGACAACACCCTGGGAGCATCTCCAGCCTGCCCTCGTGCCTGCGACCGGAGCGAGTCATCTATGACCTTTCAGCTGTCATATTAATGGGACTAATTGTAGCTGACAGGGCAATTGGGCTGAAAATCATCCAAAACAACACAGGAATCAGCAACTGAGACCAATTGGTTAAACCAACAGAGCACTTGGTCAGTTGTTCACAGAGTCAATTATCCACATCCCATTGAAAGTGCACTTCAAAAGGACGAGCTTCGGAAGGAGGAGGGAAGGAAATGCGATAGGGCCTATATTTGGCACTCTGATCTCTAAACAAGGCAAGATCGTTTTATTAATTTTTCTTTTGTAAGATCTTTTTCTCCAGCTTACTGCTGGGTACATGAGATTCAAAACAGATTCCTCCCTCCTCGCTCATTACAAGATGTATGTCTGACAAATTTTCCTCTCGATCAATTTATGCAACCTCACAGCTTCTAAATCCTGCCTTTAACGATCCTGCTCTCAGCTGGCTTGCAGAGGGCTGGAGCTGAAGTGCTATAAACAATCTTCCCCATGTCATGCTAGAAGAAAAGAATCCAGTTCCTTCTCTGTGCCGTGTCAGCCTTATGGGAAACGCACAATAAAGAGTGGTAACAATTTATTTTCATCATTAGATACTCAATAAGGAGAAAGCAAATAATGGGTTTCTCAAGTGGTTGAGCTGATATAAATAAACAACTGGGAAAAATTGACTTAGAGCAACATCTGAATTATTCCTGTGATTTTTCACAAAGTCCTTTTAGTTGCCCATATTAAAATGATGTAATAAACAATAAAAACCATCGAGCAAGTTTGAAATGGAAGAGCTTCCAGGATGAGCATCCTCCATTCACAAGCACAGGGGGACCACAGGAGGCTGCACACCAGCCTGATGCAGCCAGAGGAGGAGGAGGAAGATGGTCAGGACTCTCACATCCCTCCAGCCACCAGGGATGCCTGGGAGGAGGTACCAGTTTTCATCTGATTGCCACTGCTGCATTCCCTCTCTACCCTGGCAGGTTTCCATGTTTGAGCTTTTCTTGCACTTTCTCCCACTTCTGACCCTGTGGAAGGGCGTGAAAGCAGTCAAGGAGGTTTCTGGCACTCAAGACACCCCTTGCAAGGGCAGCCCCTCCATGGGGCCCAGGGTTTTGGAGGGGGAACTCCAAGAGGTTGGAGAAGGGGCACAAGGCGAAGCCGCGGTTACGCAGGGTCAGGCCATTATGCAACGGCTCAGAGGACGATGGCGTTGCCAAGTTCCAGGCAACCTGGAGCTCATTACAGACTAGTCAAGTCTTGGCCAAATTCAATAAGCCTGTTCACAAGCTTAAGGTTAAGCAAAGCCTGGCACCGAGGCAGGGGCTAAATAATGCAAAAATGGAAAACCACCTTAAGAAACAGCTCCCAGAAGACACTTATGTATTGCACTCTTCTTGTGATTAGAGATTTTAATTACAAAGGTGAATGCTGAAGGCTTGAAATGGTTAGTGGTTTTTTTTCTTTTCCTAAAGATGTGAACCCACACCTTCCTGCCTGGAAGGTACTTGCTGAGATTTGCTTTCAGAGGAACAGCTGGAAGTGTTTGTCTTGCAGCACATTTCCTAGGTCTGATCTCAGCATTTTCGGGATCCTGTGTGATGTAAGACATGGAGAGCCAAAGAGTAATTATATATCCTTGGCATAATTATCTCTGGTCTCTCTCTTTTTCCCATTTCTTCTTCCATCTTTAAACCCTTCTGGCATAAGCTCTGAAATCCAGTTGTTCCCCTTGGATGCCAGTCCAAATACACACCCAG